AATTGCTTCAGGCAATCTTCAATTATCTTTTATATATATAGCCAATCCATGAAAACATTTTAAAATGCAAACCCATTTCGGAACCAGAAGCAGTTACTTCCTCCTAGCTGACTTAGGAACATCCCCCTTCTTAAGAATCGCAATGGCAGGGACAAAGTCAAAGTTCCAAGCTCTTCAAAGGCCAGGCTCCAAGCATGCCCCTCCCTTTCTCAGGGCCTGGAGCATCTTCTGTTTTATTGAAGTCAAGGGCATGGAAGAACTTCAGTTTGGCTGTTGTCTTAGGAGGCTGCCCAAGAATTTACTGAACTTAGTTAGCAGGTTAGTCATTAATAAGATGAAAATAACTTAAAAGGAAATGTTATGACACTGTTGTTCTCTGACAAGGAATCAAACTTCAATTTTAATTTGTTCCCTTAAAGGTTAAATACTTAGCAAATGCACACAATATGAACAATTTTACCACACATCCTTTAAGAATGTTGCCTTCCTGTGAGGCAGTCTCAGAAATAATACTTTGTAAATAAGAACACAGATAACTTATAACCTGAATCAATTTCGTGATTAAAAAGGTATTTTGACCAAGACATAAACATCAGTATCCATTATCTGTAACCATGTAAATATTAAACATATGCAGCAACCAACTTGGCAGTTTCATAACATTGTGCAATTATAATCCAAAATATTTCAAATAACAGTTGAATTATCCAAATGTTGTCTCTGTTTTTGAGAGTTCCATGGATCCTATGGAATTCCCAAAGTCAGGAGACTTGGTTCAAACTTTTGAGCAATTTAGAGATTCAAATAAGTTGGTTAAATGTACATTTAACTGAGCATGCTAGCAAGTAGGTTGGATTTGATGGCAAAGGCAAGAAAATCTCTCAGGCCAAATGGAGTTAAAGCAAGCCAAACCTCTCCCCAGCAGGGGGGTGAAGAGTTCGCTCTCAGCCAGGCCCTCCTAAATATGCATATCAATGCCCAGAAGCTAAACTGAGGCTGACTGGCAACACCAGGAAGTAGAGGGAGCTTTCACAGAGTTCAAGCCCAAGATGAGAGCAGGGCTACAGAACAAAGACACGTAACACACATCCGATCCAGGACAAAGACATCACAGCCCCTCGAACCCGGAACCTAGGTGGAAAGGGCACCTTTCCACCTCTCGGGATTCGGAACCTGGGCAAAACGGGTGGTCCCTCTGACCTGGCACTTGGACACTGGCTTTCCCCCTCGAGCTTAGAACTACTTATAGCCCCTTCGAATCCGGAACCCAGCTGGGAGGTCGCCTTATATAGCCCCTCGAATCTGGAACTCAGCTAGGTCGCCTTCACCATCAGACTCGGAACCCAGGCAGAAGCCCCATCGAATCTGACGCCCAATTAGAAGGTTGCCCCCAACCCATCAGACTCGGAACCCAGGCAGAAGGCTACCCCCAAGCCCATCAGACTCGGAACCCAGGCAAGCAAGTCCGTCTAGCTCGGAACCAGGGAGAGCACGCAGTCCCTCAGGTCAGGCACCTGGACCCAGGGACGTCGGCCTTGGGGACCCCAGTCGTCACCAAGAGATCCCAACTGACAGAGCCGAATTACGCGTCCACCCAGACTCTGTAATGTCAGCTGCCGACTCCCAACCTCTCCGGAGACTTTTGGCCATCCTGCTAGCTCAGAAAATTAATTTAGAGAAACTTTCTCTCACTGTATTCAAATTAGAATTTAGGCGCGCCACTCATAGGTCCAATTGAATCTAGGTAAGAGGCCTTCTTACAAAGTTCTCACAGTTCAAGATTATGCAGCCAATTTAACTATCCTAGCAAGCATTTAACTTATAGCCGGCAGACACAAAAACATACAACAGTTTCAAGACAAGACAGACACACGGTTAACAACGTAGGCCTACTAAAAGAAAAACCATTCGGAGGGAACGCACCTACTCCTCCTTAGCAAACCGGTGCCTTACCTGGAGAGGCCTTTCAGCCCGCTCACCAGGTGAACACTTAACCCATCCAGGGCTTTCTGACCCCATACTGGCCAGGCAATCAGCTGAAAAGGGCCGCACGTGGCAAGGTTAAGTCTCGCCTGACCGCTGAAAAAGGCAACTGATCAGATAAAACTGGCTGGTAAAGAAAAGTTAGGCGACACTCACCACACACGCCATCAGTCTTGATGACCTGGGGATCCCGGCGAGCCCCCAAATGTTGTGCCGGTTTTTGGAACCCCCAGATAATCATCAAGTCTGAAGTCGGTGCTGAGGCAAAAAGGTGGTTTATTCAGGTTAGCCTAGGTAACCCAGCCACCTCCCGCTGGGCTGCTGGGATTAAAACCAGTGCCCATACGGGATCCTGGTTCATTCAAGTTGAGGACTTTAGCTGCTAGGCCACTATACTGACCCCCCCAAAATAAATCTTAACCACTGCGTCAAACACCTGCCCCTAGTAATGTCCTTTCAGTTTTTTTTTTTTTTTTAACTGGAGCAATTCCCAAACCAGCCTTGCTTTGTCAAATGACTATGACATAGGTGGTAAGAGGATAGAACATCTCTCTCTCTCTCGCACTCACTTTTTTTTTTTAACCATTTGTGTTATGCAGTTTAACAACAAAGGAGCTAAGTGTGCACAATAACGATGTCAGGTAGAAACAAGAAAATGTCCAGTATTTTCCTTTTCCCAGCGTTATGTGGAAAGAGAAGCTGAGGCCTTTCCAGTGTATTAAAACGCCTTGGGACAACTCTAGATCCTTGCTGGGACACAAACCTTGTATGTCTTGACTCACAATGTCAACATCAACCTGATGTTGTTGTCTTGGTTCCCATACTTGTGCAGAGAGAAGTTGGGACCAGGAGTCTCACCCTAGGAGTTGTTTTTTAAAAATGCCCTTTGGCATTTTCAAGTCAGGAGGGGGTCTGACCTTTCTCCTAGCGGAAAGCTGGTCCCTCGGTGAGAATCCCAGCAGGACGCCCCTGTGGCAGGCTGAGCTCCTTCTTAATGAACTCCTTTCACTTGCAGGAGTGGGGCGGGGGTGGGGAGAAGGACTTAGCTGCCCTCCACAGGGACATTTTAAAGTGAATGCAGGGAGTAGAGTCCTTCATTAAGGCCCCTGTGTGGACAGAAGATTTCCTGTTGTAATCATCCCATTTACAGTTATCCAAGCTCCTGCCTTAATTTCAGAGTGCAATCCAAAGGTTTCTTTGAATTTTTTAAAAAAGATTTATTTATTTTTATTACAAAGTCAGATATACAGAGACGAGGAGAGACAGAGAGGAAGATCTTCCGTCCAATGATTCACTCCCCAAGTGACCACAACGGCCGACATTATGCCGATCCGAAGCCAGGAACCAGGAAACTCTTCCGGGTCTCCCATACGGGTGCAGGGTCCCAAGGCTTTGGGCTGTCCTAGACTGATTTCCCAGGCCACAAGCAGGGAGCTCGAGGGGAAGTGGGGCTGCCGGGATTAGAACTGGCTCCATATGGGATCCTGGCACGTTCAAGGCAAGGACTTAAGCCACAAGGCCATGGCGCCAGTCCCGGTTTCTTCGAAGTTTTAAAAAAAGATTTATTTTATTTTCATTGGAGGTCAGAATTACAGAGAGGGAGATCTTCACTGATTCACTCCCCAAATGGCCTCCACAGCTAGAGCTTCACTAATCCAAAGCAAGAAGCCAGGAGCTTCTTCTGGGTCCCCCACATGGATGCAGGGTCCTAAGGCCTTGGGCCATCCCCCACTGCTTTCTCACCACAAGCAGGGAGCTGGATGGGAAGTGGGGATGCCAGGATTAGAACTGGCGCCCATATGGTATCCTGGTGTGTGCAAGGTGAAGACTTTAGCTGGTAGACCACAGCACCGGGCCCCAAAATAAAAAAATCTTTAAAAAAAAAAAGGCCTAACTCAATGGTTCAGTTAACTATGTAAGTGCCAGTTCATTTCCCAGCTGTCCCACTTCCTATTCAGCTCCCTGTTTGTGGCCTGGAAAAGCAACAGAGGATCGACCAAAGCCTTGGGACCCTGCACCCACGTAGAAGACCTGCAAGAAGCTCCAGGCTCCTGGCTTCAGATCAGCTTGGTTCCCACCACTGAGTTCATTTAAGGAGTGAACCAGTACCTGGAAGATCTTTCTATTTCTCCTCTCTGTAAATCTGCTTTTTCAATTAAAACAATCATCATCATCAAATAAAATAAAAAACCCTCTGAGGATGATTGAAAGGCAAGCACTGGTGTGGGTTAATCCTCCGCCTGAAGCATCAGCATCCCATATGGGCTCTGGTTCCAGTTCCGGCTGCTCTACATTATGTGTTAGAAATACAGAAAATACAGAGTGAATGCTCTGATACATGATGGCTCGGCCAGGTCAAAGCCCAAAGCTGGTAGCTCCGTCAGGGTCTCCAACTTGGGTGAAAAGGACTTAAAAGTTCCAGTACTTTCTGCCACCTAGGGTGGCGGCAAAAGTGGTGTTTTAGTTCCTAGTTTAAATTCCTCCAACTCCATGCCATTCTTTGCACAACCTTTGTTGAGTGTGTTTCCCACCACAGTAAAGGGTATCAAAGTGTGGTCTCTGGAGATTTGGCAGAAATGCAAATTTTGAGGTTTCATGGTCAGAGCCTCAGTGAGATGCTGCGGATGCACCTGCCTGGGCTTGATGTGTGCTCTCAGTCGCGGCTCTGGTCTGCATGGATGGGGCCTGGCATGGTGCATCGGAATCAAGGAGTCAGCAGTTGGTCATCGCCTGCTGATTTCCTATATACCAACTGCTTGCCATAAGTGTCTGTGGGAAGAAATCATCCCAGCCGGCACGCCTTTGGCATTTCACAGACAGGAAAACCGAGCTCCAGGAGAAGCGCAGCCTGTACCTAGGGGTCATCCCGCCGGCCATGGCAGGTGAATCAATGCCATGTAGGGTCGCACCGCTGTGCCTCAGCACCATCAGTCAGGCACAGCTGACACGCCTGTTCCTGGCAGCCAGCGCGCCCCGCCGCAGCCCGGGACCGAGGGGGAGGAGCGCGGCCGTCGCCGTGGCGAAAGTGCGGCTGCGGAAGCGCGGCCAGGCCGGCGGCGGCGGCGCGGGACGAGGCTGAGGAGCTCCGCGGCTGCTTGCGGGGCCGGGACCAGGCCGGCACCATGGGCCGCCTGCACTGCACGCAGGACCCGGTGCCCGAGGCCGTGGGCGGCGACATGCAGCAGCTGAACCAGCTGGGCGCTCAGGTGGGCCGTGCGGCCTGGCTGGGGCGGCGGACGCCCGGGTCAGGGGTCTGAAGGGGGCGGCCTGGGCCTCCAGGATGTTAGCAGCTGTGAGGGGCTGCCGCCTCGCGTTTGAGGAGTGTGAGGTGGACCGCGGTAGTCGGGAATTGTGGTCTGAGGAGAATTTGTGGAACCAAAAGGTCCAGTTCAAGCCCAGTTGTGGGGGCGGCGTAGGATACACGGGGACAGGACGAGGGGGCTTCGGGGGTCCTAGAGGAGGGACGGAGGGGCCGTTGTGCCGCGGCTGAGGGAACCGAGGGCGGGGAGGGAGCCGAGGGCGCAGACGAAAGGCGCGAGAGCCTGGGGGCCGCTCGGCCGTGAGCGCTTTTGGAGGGAGTCCGGGGGTTGGGGCGGCCGAGGGGAAGCGGCATCCGAGGTGGGGTTCCGATCGGGCCCTCGGGCCTGCCCGGCCGGGGTCAGGGCCCCGGGAGCGAGGACAGTCCTGCTCGGAGTGAGGGGCGTGCCCGGAAGTGCGCACGGGGTGGCCCCTGGCCGTGCGGGGCGGAGGCGGAGCCTTCCTCTCCGGATTCGGGGCCCAGGCGCCGGCCAGGTCCTCCTTGGAGGCTGCCTGCGGGAGCCAGCCGCTCTGAGCACCCTAGGCGGCCGGGAGAACAGGTTACAATGATTCCCGGCTCCATTGTAAAGATACCTCAGTCTCTTATCTCAGTATCCATCCCGGCTCCCTTCCCACATAGGTCTACATAGGTCTGTTTGTGGAGAAAAAAAAAATACTAACTTACCAGTTTACTGATAAAGTAATAATAAAGATAATGATGCCGGGGCATTTTCTTTTTAAAGACAGAATGACACAGAGAATTATTGCCCAGTGTCCACAACAGCCCGAAGTAGGCCAAACCTCAAACTGAAGCCAGGAATCCCGGGGTCTCCCACAAGAGCCCAAGCTGGGTGGCCACTACCTGCTCCCTTCCCAGGTGCATTAGCAGGGAGCTGATTGGAATTGCTGAATTGCCAGGACTGAATAGTACCAAGGCCCTCCAGTATAGCTTATGGAATGCAAGATCCTAAGCAGCTTAACCCACTGTGCTCCAACATCAACCCTGCCAGACGTTCTAAGCTTGCATTGTCCAACAGAATAAACCCTGAGGGCCTGGCATCTTGGTTTAGCTCATTAAGCCTCTACCAGCAGTGCTTGCATCCTCTAAGGGTGCTGGTTCAAGTGCCCACTGCTTCACTTCTGAGACCGTGGCAAGAGGCATCTTCAGCCGTATGGGAGAGCTAGGAGAAGCTCTTGCTTCCTGCCTTGTGCCTTGCCTAGCCTTGACTGCAGTGGTCTTTTGGGGAGTGAATCAGCAGGTGGAAGATTTTCTCAGGGAGAAAAAAAAAAAAGAAGGAAAATTGTGACATATTTCTCTCCTCCCCCCCACTAATGTTATTAATTAATTAATTTAGAAAGTAGAATTACACAGAGAAATCATCTATCCTCCCGTTTCCTCCACGAGTGACTGCATCTTGCCTTGTAAAAGCCAGGAACTCCATGCAGGCCTGCCACGTGGGTAGCAAGGGTCCAGGCACTTGGGCCGTCTGCTGCTTTCCCAGGCACAGGGGGAGGGAGTTTGACCAAAACTGAGTGGCCAGGAGGTCAGGACATGAAGCTGTGCACACATGGGATCCTGGTGCTTGCAAGGTGTGGCCACAATGGCTGGAGCTGTGTTGATCCAAAGCCATGAGCCAGGAGCTCTTCCAGGTCTCCCACATGGGTGCAGGATCCCAAGGCTTTGGGCTATCCTTGACTGCTTTCCCAGGCCACAAGCAGGGAGCTGGATGGGAAGCACCCATATGGGATCCTGGCAGGTACAAGGTGAAGACTTTAACTGCTACGCTATTGTGCTGGGCCCTTAACCCTGGCCTTGTACGGGCCCAGCTCCAGGTATTGCAACCATTTGGGGAGTGAACCAGGAAGCTCTCTCCCTCTCTGTCTCTCCTCTCTGTAGCTTTGCTGTTCAGATTAATCTTTAAAAATCAAAAAAGAAGACAGAGAAGCACTGTAGTCCCAAAGCTGTGCCCCCTGACAACTGTGAACAATCCTAGCTAATGTGAAGCTTGGCAAATTGGTAGGTGTTTAAATCATCAATTCTTAGGTAATAAGAGAGTAAATTTAAAAAATATAATGAAGAAGAGACAGACTCCATGATTCTGTCACTTCTAGGGATGAGAACAGAACACACAGGAAAGTCAGACAGTATCCAGATGTATGAAACTAAAGTGTATTTCTCTTCAACTCAAAAGTTATTTTAATATTTTTGTATTTGATGGAAAAAATCTTAAATTATCGGTAAATGTATGAATGTCCTTTAGAATTTTTCTCTTTTTACAAAGAAGATGTAAAAACGTGTATTATGGATATTATCCCTAGCAAGCATAGATCTGTATTTTTTTTTTTTTAGGATTTACTCATTTTTATTAGAAAAGCAGAATTATTGAGAGAGAAGGAGCAAGATCTTCCATCTGCCAATTCACTCCCCACATAGCTGCAACAGCCATACCTGAGTGAGTTAGAAGGCAGCAGCCAAGGGAGCTTCTTCTGGCTCTCTCACATGGGTGCAGGGGCCAAGGACTTGGGTCATCTTCCACTGAGTTCTGAGTGAACGAGGTACACAGTATCAGGGAGTTGGATTGAGCCAAGACTCAAGCTAACATCGATAAGGAATGTTGGCACCGCAGGCAGATATTTAACGTGCTACACCATAGCACTGGCTTCATGCATTCCTTTATTTTTAAAGATTTATTTTATTTTTATTGCAAAGTCAGATATACAGAGAGGAGGAGAGACAGAGAGGAAGATCTTCCGTCCAATGGTTCACCCCCCAAGTGGCCACAATGGCCAGAGCTGCACCGATTCGAAGCCAGGATCCAGGAGCCTCCTCCTGGTCTCCCACGCAGGTGCAGGATCCCCAGGCTTTGGGCCGTCCTTGACTGCTTTCCCAGGCCAGAAGCAGGGAGCTGGATGGGAAGCAGGGCTGTCAGGATTAGAACCAATGCCCAAATGGCATCCTGGAGATTGCAAGGTAAGGATTCTAGCCATTAGACTACTGCACCGGGCCCATTGCAAAATTCTTTGAAATTTTGTTTAGTTGAGAAGCATAAAGAGAGCTTCAATTCCTAAATACACAAAATGGCAGTAACAGGCATGGAATAGTGCCAAAGGGAGTGTCGGAGCTGGAACTTAATCCAGGTGTCTCACAGGGGTGACAAGAATCCAGCAGAGCCCAGGCTGCTGCCTCTTAGGGATGCTACACTGGCAGGGAGCTGGCACGTGCAAGGCGAGGACTTTAACCACTAACCTATCGAGCTGGGCCCAAAAAGCAGGGTTTTAAAGTGTGCTTTAAATGTGTTTAAATTAGAAGATTTATTGTTCAATGAGAATGCAGTGGAGGGTGGTTTAAGTCCTTTGCGCTCCTGCACCCACATGAGAAACCCAGAAGGAGCTCCTGACTAGATTGGCTCAGCTCTGGCCATTACAGTCATTTGGGAAATGAAACAGTGGATGGAAGGTCTCTGTCTCTCTCTGCTCCCTACAAATCTACTTTATCTCTTTGATAAAAAATAGATATTTTGGGGCCTGCCTGCATGGCCTAGCGGCTAAAGTGGAACTGCTAGGATTACAACCGGCGCCAGGATCCCATATGGATGCCGGTTGTAATCCTGGCAGCTCCACTTCCCTTCCAGCTCCCTGCTTGTGGCCTGGGAAAGCAGTGGAGGACGGCCCAAAGCCTTGGGACCCTGCACCCGCGTGGGAGACCGGGAAGAGCTCCTGGTTCCTGGCTTCGGATCGGCATAGCGTTGGCTGTTGTGGTCACTTGGGAGTGAATCATCGGACGGAAGATCTTCCTCTCTCTCTTCTCCTCTCTTTCTCCCCTTCTCTCTTTAACTGACTTTGTAATAAAAATAAATAAATCTTAAAAAAAAATCAGTTTCTTAGTTATACTAATCACATATAAAAATTTTCATTTATAAAAAAATAGATCTTTTTTTTTTATGGTTTTCCTTTGAAATATATAGGAAGGAGATAGTTTTGCAATGGAATTACTGGGCCATGGAGTACAATCACTTAAAAATTGTATTGTGAAATCCGTTTCTCATAGGTAGGGGTGCCCTGGCTTTTCCCCTCGGCAGGCAGAGCCTGTGCGCTTCCTGTACTTTGGCCAGCTCTGGTGTCCTCCTCCAGTGTTGTTTGCAAGAGCTGATAAGTGGAGAATGGGTCCCTGTTTTCCTGACCTGCATTTCTCTAGTCCAGAGTGACCTTGACTGTCTGTTGGGTGAGAGTACTTGAGATCCCGATAGACCCTAATGGTCCCAGAGGGAGGGAGGAACATTCCAGGAGAAGATCCATGCAACAGATACCATGCACTTAACATAGCTGAGGTGCTGTGATAATGCTGAGCAGCTCCAGGAGCCATCTCAGCTCGGGCAGGCTGTGTTCCTTACCAAAGGGGAAGGGACAAGGTGTCCATAGGTGATGTTTGGGGAGGAGGCCGAGGAAATTCTATATCTGAGCGGGCCTCCAGCTTTCTTCTGCTGCTTTTTTATTCTCTCTCTCTTTTACCTGGTCTTTTATTTTCAAAGTTTGCAGGAGTTTCCTTTCTTTTTAAAGATTTTTTTTTTTTTTTTTTGTATTGCAAAGTCAGATATACAGAGAGGAGGAGAGACAGAGGAAGATCTTCTGTCCGATGATTCACTCCCCAAGTGAGCGCAACAGCCAGTGCTGCGCCGGTCCGAAGCCAGGAGCCTCCTCCAAGTCTCCCACGCGGGTGCAGGATCCCAAGGCTTTGGGCCGTCCTCGACTGCTTTCCCAGGACACAAGCAGGGAGCTGGATGGGAAGCAGGGCTGTCGGTATTAGAACCAGCGCTCATATGATCGTGGAGCATTCAAGGCAAGGACTTTAGCCCAGGCTATTGCGCTGGGCCTGATATATTTGTTTTTATTAGAAAGTCACATTTATAGAGAGAAGGAGAGTCAGAGAAAAAGAGAGGCACATTCACTGGCTCGCTCCCCACAGGGCTGCAAAGGCCAGGACTGAGCTGATCTGAAGCCAGGAGCCAGGAACTTTTTCTGGGTGTTCCACAGGTATATTGGGGCATGAACTGGCACCTATATGAGCTACTGCACCGGCCTTAAGAGATTTTATCTTATTTTGTGTCACTTGGATCATTTAAATATAACCTTACCCATAAATTACTCTTATAATTTCACAAACTAGTTTTATATATTTTTAAGTGCATTTTAGAAAAAAATTATACAAAGCACTGTCAAGAATGTATAGAGAATTTAGCAGAAGAGGCAGGTGTGTTTGTGGACTTTGAGTTAGAGTGCTAAGAGATCCACTTAATGTTTTTGTTTGTTTGTTTGTTTGTTTTTTCATATGTTAAGTTCCTCTTGGAAGGTGGGCAGAGGGCCTGGTGCTCCAGTTATATAATTGTGACTCCTGTCCTTGCTGCAGCTTGCTTAACTTCCAGCTGTGCCCTCTGCTGGAGGCTTTGGCTTCAGTTCTCTGCAAGATGGCTGTCACCTCTGTCCTCCCTGTGGGGACTAAAACTCCAGGCTCTTGAGCTTGCCCAGGTGCGCAGGAGTGGTCAAGGGTATCACTTTGACTCACGTCTGGGTCTTTTGCTGATTTATATATTTATCTACCGCCAGCACCCTCTATTCTCATCCCATGGCTACCCCTCCATTTTGTTAGAAAAGCAGAGAGACAGAGGCAAGTGCCCAACAGCCAGATGGGGTCACGTCGAAAGCAAGACCTCAGAACTCAGTCTGGGTCCCCAATGAGGAGTTGGCGCATAAATACTTTGGCAGGGGCACATTAAGAGGAAGGTAGATGCAGAGTGGGGCAGTAGATCCAGGTGCTCCAGTGCCACTGTGGTCTTCCCAGGTGGCAACTTGTGCTGTGCCAAACAGCAGCCCCTGCTGGCAGGAGGGGTTTAAACTCTGGCATTTCAGTTTCCCCAACTCTGCTCTAATTCTGTGCCCTTGAGTGCAGGTGTAGGAAAGTAAAAATTGCTATCCATATGTGCTCAGACTGCTGCAACAGCCTTGACTGGATGGCTCACACGGCCAGATTTCCCACTGCTCTGCAGGTCGGAGGGCTGCCTAGCCTGTTTGGTTTCTGGTGAGAGTTTGCTGTCCACCTTGGAGATGGCTACCTTCTTGCTGGACCCTCACATGGTGAGAGAGAGAAAGAGAACATTCTGAAGTCTTTTCCTCCTCAAGGGTTCCAGCCCTGTGGGGATTGCAGCACCACTCCAGGCTGTCATTAACCTCCCATCACCTCCCAGGCCCTGTCTCCAGGTGCAGTCGCCTTGGAAGTCAGGGTTTTAGCGTGTTGACTGTCACCTCCCCGCAAAACACCAGCAGGCAGTCCTTAGCCACGCAGTGCCAATAAGGAAAGGTTAACATACACAAACAGGTGCTTTCTAACACACTGACACTGCACAATGAAATGTTACAGTTGACCATTGTGCTGTGTGACAAAATGTGTAGTGTAGGGCCCGGTGCGATGGTCTAGTGGCTAAAGTCCTTGCCTTGAATGTGCTTGTATCCCATATGGGTGCTGGTTCTAATCCTGGCAGCCCTGCTTCCCATCCAGCTCCCTGCTTGAGGCCTGGGAAAGCAGTCAAGGACGGCCCAAAGCCTTGGGATCCTGCACCCACGTGGGAGACCTGGAGGAAGTTCCTTGCTCCTGGCTTCGGATCGATACAGCACTGGCTGTTGCGCTCACTTGGGGAGTGAATCATCGGACGGAAGATTTTCCTCTCTGTCTCTCCTCCTCTCTGTATATCTGACTTTGCAATAAAAATAAATAAATATTTAAAAATGTGTAGTGTGAGGGTGCCCTAGGAAATGTGGAAAGGCAAATCAGAAAAACGATCCAAAGTCAGCCCCGAGGAAGTCACAGCTCCTAACTCTGGTGAGCTCCCCTTTAGATCATTTCTCTCTGTGTGTGGTGTGTGTGGATGGCACATGCATCATGTATGTTTGGACCCTACAAATGTATATATACATAGTCTCCCAGTGTCTGTCTCCTAAATAGCCCAGTAAAAGGATCTTCATTTTTTCTTAGGCAATCTAGTGACAGATCTGTTGACCTTGGTGGCGGGTGGAGACGTTTAACTTTATGATCACCGCGCTGAGTCTCAGTGCCTGTCCTGGTTCCTTTCCCTGAGGGTCTGCGGCTGGCGGAGGCGGCTCTGACCAGAAGCTGCCGTTTTACTGATGCTCTGTGGTTTTCTCTCCGCAGCAGTTCTCAGCCCTGACAGAAGTGCTTTTCCACTTCCTCATGGAGCCCAAGGAGGTAAAGTGCTTTGCTATGGAGAGTTCCCAGGTGCGGGCGGGTGAGTGGTCCTGCCAGGCTTAGGAAGTGACCGGCCTGGATTGTGCTATCCTTGGCAGGTGGAAAGGTTCCAGACTCAGCTCTCTGAGTTTGCCACTACTCATCAGATCAGCCCGGGCCCGCTCCGAAGCATCGTGAAAAGCCTCCTCCTGGTCCCCAGTGGTGAGTAGCTTCTCACAGCCCCAGGGGGGAAGGCCATGGCTGCACTCAGGCATGCCCAGGGCACAGAGCCAGAGCATTTGTCACGAGCCAGACAGGGGTGGGGCTCGCAGTCTAGGGCTGGGACCCAAGAACAGGTCCATGTAGCACATGCACTGAACATGTAGATTCCTTTTTACCCCCTCAGTCTTTATTACCTAAGCAATACAGTCTAACAACTATTTATGTGGCATTTGCAATACGTTAGGTATCATAAAGTAATCTAGAGATAACTTCAAGTGTACAGGAGGATGTGTGTAGGTCATTGTATGTCACATGGAAATACTGTGTCGTCAGATGTAGGACACCTGGGTGTCTGGAAGGTGGTTTCTGAAGAGTGTCCTGAACCAAGTCCCTCGGGTACCATGCCCAGCAGCCGGCCTGAGAGTTCAGCCAACCTCTTCCAGGAAGTCCCCACTTTAACTATCTAGGGCTTGTGTTTTGCATGTTTTTTTTTTTTAAAGATTTGTTTATTTTTATTGCAAAGTCAGATATATAGAGAGGAAGAGAGACAAAGATCTTCCATCCAATGTTTTACTCCCCAAGTGACTGCAAAGGCCGATGCTGTGTCAATCCGAAGCCAGGAACCAGGAAGCCCCTCCAAGTCTCCCATGTGGGTGCAGGGTCCTAAGGCTCTGGACCACCTTCAACTGCTTTCCCAGGCCACAAGCAGGGAGCTGGATGGGAAGTGGAGCTCCTGGGATTAGAACCAGTGCCCATATGGAATCTCGGTGCGTTCAAGGCAAGGACTTTAGCCACTCAGTCACCACGCCAGGTCCATGAATTATAAATGTTAAGACAGATACGATATATATATAGAGAGAGATGGAGAGTTTTAGGAATCTTAGTTTGCCACATCAGGCAGTTTCTGGTGGAAGAGAGGGATGTTCAACATCCTGGCACAGCTTGTGTATCCTGGCGACCCAGTGGCTAGAGGCAGCTTTAACAGACATTAGTGGTTTTTTTTTTTTTAAGATTTATTTATTTTTCTTGGAAAGTGAGATTTACAGAGAAAAAGGAGAGACAGAGAGAAATATCTTCCATCCACTGCTTCATTCCCTAGCTGGCCCCAATGATGGGAGCTGAGCTGTTCTGAAATTAGTAGCCAGGAGCTCCTTCCAGGTCTCCCACGCAGGTGTAGGATCCAAAGGCTTTGGGCCATTCTCTACTGCTCTGCCAGTGCACGAGCAGGGAGCTGGAGTAGAAGTGGAGTAGTTGGGACACGAACTGGCGCTCATATGGGATCCCGGTGGATGCAAGGCGAGGACTGCAACCAGTAGGCTACTGCTGGAGCCCCAGGTTTTGCTGATCCTGACAGGAAAATCACATAGTGATCAGAATGTCATGCTTCCAAGTAGATGGCCTTCCTTTTGAATTCATGTCTATTGCAGGGTGCGAGCGAGATCACGCCAGATATGTGTAAGGTTTATTAAGGAGTCTTTATTAACCAAGCTTGGTAATAGCAGCGCCCACTAGAAATAGCAAATCACAAGTCCATATGGCAGTCCAATCAGTCATAACCCCAAAAGGAAGAAATGGTCATTACCCTCAAGTCCATACGTTAAGCTAAAGGCCTATGTCCCAGCTTCCCCCACAATGTAAGTTATCCTAAGAGACGTGCAACAAATAACCTAGACACACTTACAGAGCTGCAGACATTCACCTTTCCCTGGCTTCTCTGCCCACAATCCACTACTGCTAGGCCTCAACTCTCCGGGAACTTCACAGTACACAAATTAGAAATACAAAGCGTCTTGGCATTGCTATCTTCATTGTCTCACCCAACCAGTAAACAGAGGGTGAGGAATACAGACACACAGGGGCCATGCTCAGGGGATGCCTGTCCTCAGAGGTACTGGGGAGGCCACGAGTCGGAGTGCCAGAGCGATGGAAACACATGACCAAAGAGTGAGCCCTTCCTTTTCATGGGCCTTTAAAAGGCTTGTGATGGGTGTGGCTACACAACAATGCAATACCGCCCCCTCTCAAGTACTAGGTGAGAGTCACAGGTGGGCAGGAGGGAACACCTGGGTGGTGGGGGAGTGACTTCCAAGCTAACGACCCTGATCTAGCTGCCTACCTCACCACAATGTCCATCCTTTATTGAGTGATGTACCTTACCCTGGCACCTGCCTTTCTGACCTTTACCAGCCCCTCCCCAGAGTGATTTTTACCCACCTCTACGCCTTTCTTTCTAAAGGGCATGGAAAATGTGAAGATTAATTGAAATCATGACAACATAATGCTTATAGCTAAGTGCTGCCGTAAGATTGCTCTTAGTTTTTTGTATTGTGTGCTAAATGTAATCTTTGGATATTTCTTTATTTGAAAGACAGTAGGACAGAGACAGAGAAAGGAGAAAAGAGAAAGAGGGAGAGGGAACTTCCATTTGTTGATTCACTCTGCTAATGGCTGCAACACGAAGAGTGTGCCAGGCTTAAAGCCAGGCGCCCATGGTGCAGGTGATGGAGTAATCCTGGCCCTGCACACCCTGGCTGGTGCACACATGAGTGCAGTCCGAGGTCATCCAATGTGAGGTTTCTTGGGGGACTCCCCAACTAGATGGCTGGACTCAAACCGCAACCACAGGGAAAATCACAGGATGTGTGGTCCTATTTTCAAGTGCATGTGTCTGGACTGGGCCTCCTTAGTTGCTGATGCCCATTGCAGTAGACAGCATGTCCAGATGCTCACAAGGGACCTGAGCTAGTGGAGGTCATCCAGTGCCTCATCAGAGGATGGAAAGCAAAACAGGTTGGACCAGTCTCCTGGCGAAGCTTTGCAACAAGTTCTTGGGCCTTTGGATGCACACTGAGGTGGACTTGATGAGCCAAAGACCTTGCAAAGATTTTCCTCAACCCTAGAGCAATGAAACCAGCAAGTTCTGAGAACTATCAAAACCACTCAACTCGCACCCTTGGGACACTCTTCCCCACCTTGGGAGTCTGTAAGGCATCATCAGATGACCGCCCCCACCCATCCCTGGTTGCTGATGGGTGCAGTTTGACAGCAAACAGTGGCTCTGTCCCCCTCCCCCTAAGGCTATAGGAGAAAAAAATCTGAAACATTTGTCCCACCCACCTTCCTCCTTACCTTCACTCTCCCCACCCTAATTAGAGCCCACACAGGGACGTGTATTCCTCTCAACTATGTAAACAATTTTAAGAAAGAAACAAAACAAAAACAGGATCCAAGAACTCTGCCAGGTCTCCCCACATGGGTGGCAAGGACTCAAGTACTGGGGCCACCATCTGCTACTTTTTAGTTGCATTAGTAGGAAATCTGATTTAAAACGAAGTAGACAGGACTTGAACTGACATTGTGGTATAGAATACAGGCATGCCAAACAGAGGGTTAAAAACCAAATAAATGGCTTATTTGAAAGACCAACTTACAGATCAGGAGAGATGGAGAGAGAAAGAGAGAGCGCGAGCCATTTTCCATCTGTTGGTTCACTCCTTCTGTTGTACCTGGGTCTGGGCCAGACAAGCCAGGAGCAGAAACTAGGCAAGCTTCTGCTGCTTTCCCAGATGCATAAATAGGGAGCTAGGTGGGCCCAGCATGATAGCCCAGCGGCTAAAGTCCCCACCTTGCTAGCGCTGGGCTCCCATATAGACACCGGTTCTAACCCTGGTGCCCCGCTTCCCATCCAGCTCCCTGTTTGTGGCCTGGGAAAGCAGTAGAGAATGGCCCAAAGTCTTGGGACCTTGCCACCCGCATGAGAGACCCAGAGAGAAGCTCCAGGCTTCTAGCTTCAAATTTATCTCCAGCCATTGCAGCTACCTGGGGTGTGAATCAGCGGACGAAAGATCTTCCTCTCTGTCTCTCCTCCTCTCTGTTATATGACTTTCCAACAGGGAGCTGTATGGGAAGTGGGACACAAACAGGCTTTCATATGGGAAGGTGCTAGCTCACAGGCGGAGGCTTGACCTATTACACTGCAGTGCTAGCTCCTGGGCATGTAGTTTGCAAGCTAGCTTATTAGTGTCTGTAACAGCTCATTTTCTGTAAAGTAGCATCACTTACCAAATAAGTGATGACATTTGAGTCTTGGTCACATCAGATAATATAACTATTGGGCTCTGGGAAATGAGCCTCTAGAGCCTCAATTTCTTATCTGGAAAATGGAGTCATAAGAGCAGCTTGCGATAGAGATGTTAGGAGTAAAATACAGGGTTGGCTATACAGTAGCCTGCATTAAAAAAAATTTTTTTTTAAAAGACTTATCTGTTTATTTGAAAGGTAAAGTTGGAAAGAAAAAGAAAGAAAGCTCTTCCATCTGCTGATTTACTCTCCGTGTGGCCCTGCCTGAAGCCAGATGCCTGAAGTCCATCCGAGCCTCCCGTGTGGATGACAGGGCCTAAGCATTTGGGCTGTCTTGCTGCCTTCCCAGGTGTATTGGCAGGGATCTGGAATGAAAAAGGGGCACCCAGGACTCAAACTAGCACCCATGTGGGATAATGTCACTGCAGGTGGAAGCCTGCGCTAGCCCCTGTAGCCTTTTTTTTTTTGAAGATTTATTTTATTTTTATTGGAAAGGCAGGCAGATATACAGAAAGGAGGAGAGACAGAGAGGAAGATCTTCCGTCCATTGGTTCGCTCTGCACTTTCCAAGTGGCCACAATGGCCGGAGCTGAGCCAATCCAAGCCAGGTCTTCTTCCAGGTCTCCCACTCTGGGTGCAGGGTCCCAAAGCTTTGGGCCATCCTCAACTTCTTTCCAAGACCACAAGCAGGGAGCTGGATGGGAAGTGGAGCCACCAGGATTAGAACCCATTAGTGACCATATGGGATCCCAGTGTGTACAAAGCGAGGATTTTAGCCACTATGCTACTGCGCCGGACCCCTGCATATAATTCTTTAAGATAGCCCATTTCCAGAGTTATCAACCCTTTCTTCTACACACAGCCCACTTTTTCTCTCTGCTCTCTGGATCCGATTGTTTTAAAGAAATATCTTTCATTCC